AAAAAAAAGATTTGCGTGTTGACTTTCCCTTATAACATTTTATGAAAAACGCGTCTTACATATTCATTGCTTCTATAATGTATAACGTACAAATATTTAGAGGGTCCAAAAGATTTCATACTCCCACAGGAGTATATTGTTTATTCACTTCCTCAAGTTAAAAACACCATCTAAGAACAATTTTAGAACCTTAAAAATTGAGGATGTAATATGTTCAACCTATAGACTAATCCAATAGAAAAATTACCAATTTGCACTATCCATGCACTTAAAAAAAAAATGTCACACTCTGCAATTAGAAGAGGGGGGAGATCTAAGCGTTTGAAACTTAAAACTTAAAATTCAAAATTATTTCTTTTTTTTAAAGGGAAAAGTTTATATAAGGATGCAATCTTAAAATGTAGAATTACAGATGCACCTCAAAAATCTATCGGAAATGTTGTTTTAATGTTGAAAAGTCCTCCATTGGTCATCTCGATATAGAGATGTATGAATATATATATATAAAAAATAAAAGTTTTCGAGTCTCAGAAATAGTGCATCTCGCAACACATTATCTAGACCGTTCATTTTCAAGATTTTCATATGATTATAGATCTCCTTGATTTTAACCATTTTTGGAGTTTAAAATTTTCTAATTAGATATGAAAACAAATTCTAAGATGATACTAAGAATTTTTTACAACAAAATTTGATAAAATTTAGAGGTGCACCTAAATTGGATTGTTTAAGTTGCAACCTTATAGAAACCGCACCCTTTTTTAAATAATCATCTAGAATTCGTAGGTGGTCTCAAATTGTCATATAAAAAAAAAAAAAAAAAATCCTTCCAAACATGTCATCTACCCAAAGGAGTATTTATATATTATGCTACTGCAGGAGCATAAAATATGTTATCTTCAGAGAGATTGTGAGGATGTATCCAATGGAAAGGTAGTGGTGTTTCGACGAGGTTGTCGGCCACCTTGTAGCTTTGAATCTCTGGTCGGTGCCACTATTTTGTTAATATCAACCCCTCTGTCTCTCTCTAGTATTTTGTTAAAATCAATCTCTCTCTCTCATCCTTATAAGCATACTTTTTTTGTTTTTTTTTTAACTTTAAGTATGCCGAAATATCTTTATTTTTCTTTTTGAAAGGTAGTATTCTCTTGGTTGTCTAGGAGGTTTTCCAACACGAAATTTGACCTATTTTTAGTCTTCTAGGTTAGCTTAGTTTTTCTTTATTCCTGAAGGAAAATGCGCCAAAAGAGAAGTTTCACCTTGACTGTCGCGTCTTGGTTTTTGACTAATCATTTCCCTAATATTATTTCAACCTTAATCCTGCTCCCAAAGTAGACCATCATTTCCCTAAACCTAAAGTTTCTGTAAAAATTTGGCTCTTAATTGCACTAACATTGGCAATGGCATCCATTCAAATAGAGAAACAGACAGATATCATTGAATTGAATTGAATTAGTTGGAAAGGTAAGCCAAAAGATTTCCTACTCCCGCAGGCGTTTCTAACCGTTAACTCCCTCGGGAGAAACACAGATAAAGAGTTTCTAACCGTTAACTCCCTCGGGAGAAACACAGATAAAGAATATCTTTTGGGTCTCAAATTTGGGGATATAATCTTCGACAACCCAAAGAATAATCTAAGCCAAAACAATTTCTGATATAAACTCTCTATGTATTAGGAAGAACTTATGGGTCAAGATTGAATAAAGACTGTCTAATTTTATTTTTTTTTACAGGATGGATATAAGAGCTATAAAACTCAAAATTCAAATTTAAAATTTTAGAAATAATCATCTAGTAACTCTTGTATGGTTTTCAAAATTTTAGATTGAGAAAATACCCCCCCAATAGTTGTTTTGAGCGAAGAAGTATATACACAGTACGCTCCCATGGGAGCATATTACTTGCGCTCAAAAAGTAATGATCATAACACCCGGCGAGGATCTGGCATGAAAGATGGGTTGACAAAGAAAAATGGGTAAAGTGAAAGGTCAAATATGCGCTCAAATGAAGAAATTAAGGTATATGACGAATAAATAAAACAACGAAATAGGATCCTTAGGATCAGAACCGTTGATCGTGAGTGTGAGATGGGTGTTGACTCCAGGGAATGGAGCGACCCACCATGTGTGTGTAGTGGCATGCACCACACGTGCAAGGAAATTAAGGTGAGGGAAAAAGGAAAAAAGTGGAAATGATGATGTCCAAAACACCGAACATTATGATATCCACTCTTTTCTAAATAAAAAAATAATTAAAAAAATGGTTTGATAGGGCTCCAGTTCTATTAAAATAAGTGAAGCTTCAACTTATAATTCATCAAAAAATACAATTTAAGGATGGAAAACCTTTATATTGATCATCTCCACCTAAACATATAAATTGTGAAAAAAAATTAAGCTCTAAAAATTATATATATTGTAACAAATTATCTAGACCTTCTATTTCACCTTAAAATAAATGTTTATAGAACCGCAAGATCTGTACCATTTTTTTTAATTTCAAATTTTATTGTCGATGTTAGATGTTAACTTAAATCCATCATGGACAGTTCCATTGCCGTTCTAGACTAGTATTTGTTGTGAGGCTTTATTTGTTTTTCATAAAACCTAGGCCGTATAGGAACTTCATCCAAAGAACTATTGATAACTAAATCCGGAAAATCTCTTTTTCCTATGTAGACTAACAGTTTGCTTCTTCTCCCCAATTTACAGAGATGGGGACAGAGGAATCATGTTTTGGTGAAATGGGGCCATGTGAACTTTGGAGAGATGTGCACATTTTCATAAATCACCATCTATTTTAGTAGAATAGAGCTCTCTCCAATACAAAACAAGGAGATGCTCGTGATGCTAGTATGTGTATCAGGAGAAACTTTCCCTCTAAAGAAGAGTGTACGGATGTATGCTTGTAATAGCTCTAAGAATTGCATTCCAATCTCAAAAGAGGAAATACTCTCTCTTCCATGTGACATTTCTATGCGACTTCCCTAAAATACACATACCAGATAGAGAGAGAGAGAGAGAGAGAGGAGGTA